AAAAAAAAAAAAAAAAGCCATCTACTTTGTAAAGTAATTGGGTAGTTTATTATAAAGTTTAATATATCCTTACTGAATGACCGAGAAATTCCACTCCTTGGGATTTACTCAGGACAAATGATAACTGCATAAGGTCCCATACTTAGTCGCGAGCGAGCGGGCAGGGGGGTGTGCGGCTGCTAGAGCCGAGCGGAGCGATGCCTAAATCAAAGGAACTTGTTTCTTCAAGCTCTTCTGGCAGTGACTCTGACAGTGAGGTTGACAAAAAGTTAAAGAGGAAAAAGCAAGTTGCTCCAGAAAAACCTGTAAAGGAGCAAAAGACAGGTGAAACTTCGAGAGCTCTGTCATCTTCTAAACAGAGCAGCAGCAGCAGAGGTGATAACATGTTTCAGATTGGGAACATGAGGTATGTTAGCGTTCGAGATTTTAAAGGGAAAGTGCTCATTGATATTAGAGAATATGGGATGGATCCAGAAGGTGAAATGAAACCCGGAAGAAAAGGTATTTCTTTAAATCCAGAACAATGGAGCCAGCTGAAGGAACAGATTTCTGACATCGATGATGCAGTAAAAAAACTGTAAAATCCGAGCCATATAAAACCTGTACTGTTCAAGTTGTTTTAATCTGTCTTTTTACACTGGCTTTTGTTTTCTACACGTTGTTCTCCAAGCTATTGCATGTTTGGATTGCAGAAGAATTTGTAAAATGAATACTTTTTTTTAATGTGCATTATTAAAAATGTTGAGTGAAAAAAAACATCCCATACTTCAGTGTTTATCGCAGCTTTAATTACAATAGTCCCAACCTGGAAACAGTCCAGATGTTCTTCAACTAGTAAATGGGTAAACAAACTGGTACATCCTTTTAACAGAATACTTCCCAGCAATAAAAGAAAAGAACTTCTGATACATGCAACACTTGAATGAGTCTTAAAAGCTTTGTTCTAAGTAACGGAAAACAGCTACAAAAGCTTACACGTTTGTAATTTTATTTATACGACATTTTACCAAAGGCAAAATATCGGAACAGACATCAGATCACTGGTAGCCAGGAGCTGGAAGTGAAGATAGGGATGACCCCAAAGGGGTGCAAGGGAATTTTTCACGATGATGTGGGTGCTCTATATCTTGATAGTGGTAGTTGTGGTTATGCAACTCTATGCAGGGGTTACAACCTATCAAATTACACGCTTAAAATTAGTGAGTTTTACTCTATGTAATTCACACCTCACTAAAGCTGATTTTTAAACAATCCTTGCAGTGGTTTGCATTACCCTCAGAGTGAATGACTCTGCATAAGCCCATAGGCCCTTCAGGATCTGACCCTCCTGCCTCCCTCTCTCTGACCTTATCCCTGCTCACTCTCCTTCTTTGCACTTTGCTGCAGCTGCAAGAGCCTCCTGGCTATAAAACCTTCTCAGACTACGCAGGTACAAGTCCTCTCTGAGCACTGCACTAACTCCCTCTACCTCCTTTAAGTCTGTGGTTAACTGTCACCACTTCAGAAAGGTCTAATCTCTCAATGAATGTTCCTTGAATGGGCCTCAGTTTCCCTATCTGTAGAAGGAGGAAGCGAAACCAAAGGATCTCGAAAGCTTCCTAGTCTGACGTCCTACAGTTCTGACATTTAGCTTTTAGATGTAGAAGAAGACACTGAATGACAACTGGCAGGTGAGTGAAACAGTTCTGGAGTGTTCTGAGGACAAATGACCACTTCCAGCTGTCAGAGTCCAAAGATGCTTAATGAAGGAGTTGGCTCCTATAGAACAGGTAGGATTTCCTTATACAAAACAATTAACTCAACAACTGGAAATATTGTTCTCCTTTATTTTAGAGTAGAATTCTGGCTTCTACTTAGTTTGCACAGTTTGAACATTTTCCTCAGCTTTGACAACATCCTTGAATACTGCCATGCTACCCATTCCAAATCTCTCCCACATGTGTACTTGCTTCTATCATCATTGGTAATTAACCGGCCAAGCTGTACATTATATCAAGGCTGTGCTAGACATCAGGAAAACTGACAAGATCTCTCCTTTGTTGTAGTATATCTGTTCACATACCTTTTTCTACTAGATTCTGATGTCTTGGGGGGCTAAGTTTATGTTTCCCTCAGCTTTGGATCCACAATAATGGAGCATGGCAAACTCAAAGAATGAATGTTCCTGAGAACTCTAAGCATTCTGCTTGTATGCGTGTGCACATCAGGAAGAACAATTAGCAGGTCATTAATCACAACTCTTTCTATTTGATTGTCAAAGCTAATTGCCTATTAAGGTAAAGCAGGCCTTATTTCCTTAATCAGAAGGGTTACAACCTGAGCAGGTTGGCAAATTTTGTGATGCTGATGTGAAAGATAAAATAGAAGAAGTTCAAGCACAAAGCTGAAATCTGAAGGTCTTCTCATTTGCTCCTGTTTACTGGTGATCTACAAACCAGATAGAATCTTTTCCTCTACAGAATTAAGGTGAAATGAGATCATAACGCTGAGGCCCTCATCTGATAGGATTAGTGTCCTTATAAAAAGAGACATTAGGCTGGGTGTGGTGGCTCATGCCTATAATCCCAGCACTTTGGGAGGCTGAGGTGGGCAGATCACCTGAGGTCGGCAGTTCAAGACCAGCCTGACCAACATGGAGAAACCCTGTCTCTACTAAAAATACAAAATTAGCCGGGCGTGGTGGCACATGCCTGTAATCCCAGCTACTCAGGATGCTGAGACCGGAGAATTGCTTGAACCTGGGAGGCAAAGGTGGAGCCGAGATCGTGCCATTGCCCTCCAGCCTGGGCAACAAGAGCAAAACTCCGTTTCAAAAAACAAAACAAACAAACAAACAAAAAACAAAGAGAGAGAGAAAAAGACATCAGAGAGCTTACTCTTTCTCTCACTTTCCAGACACACACATTGAGGAAAGGCCATGTGAACACACATAGAGAAGGTGCCCACCTGCAAGCCAGGAAAAGAGGCCTCTTTAGTAGCTCAATAGGCTATCACCTTGATCACAGGCTTCCAGCTACCAGAACTGTGAGAAATGAAATATCTGTTGTTGAAGCCACCATGCCTGTAATATTTAGCTACAGCAGCCTGAACAGACTAAGACAACTGTAGCACACTTAGTCCCAAACAGACTCAACCTAAAATTCTCTCCTATATTGATTTATAGCCTCTTCTGTCCCAAGATGTGAATTAGCCCAGGGCTTTTCAGAAATTTCTCATTCCCAAACTAACCTACTATCTCTTAAAACTTTTCCTACCACATTTCAACTAATACACGACATTGAGAATTTCTCCTTCTGCTCTGTATTTTCAGTTGTCAGTGACTTTCATTTTTTATAGCCACCATTTAGATTTGAAAATAACATTTTCCAGCAATTTTGGAAAGCAGAAATTTTTATAGAGTAACCCAATGGAGAGTGTAGGCATTACCTTTGTATCCGCATGCCCAGGAAGGAAAGCTGGAACGAGCGAAAAGCTGTTCAAAAAAACTGCATTCACTAACATCACATAATACTCTCTGTATTAGTCCGGCTTCTCCAAAGAAACAGATTCAACAGGATACACACACATATATAATCTGCAATTATATATATATACACACACATATATAATCTCTGTGTGTGTGTTTGTGTATGTGTGGCGACAGACAGAGAGAGACAGAGGAGAGAGGGAGAGAGATTTACAATAAGGAATTAGTTCATGTGATTATGGAGGCTGAGAAATCACATGAAGTGCCATCTGCTATCTGCAAACTGGAGAGCTTGGAAAGCTGGTGGTCTTGGTGGTCTAATTCCAGTCAGATTAAGAAGGTGGAAGAACCAGGGGAGCTCGTAGTGTAAGTCCCAGCCCAAGGGTGACAGAAGACCAATATCCCAGCGCATGCAGGTAGACAGAAAACAAAAAGGGGGTACATTCCTTCTTCCTCCACTTTTTTGTTCAACTCAGTCCCTCCATGGATTGGATGATGCCAGCCCACCTTGGGGAGAGCAATCTACTTTATTGAGTCTACCAATTCAAATGCTAACTTTATTTGGAAACAACCTCATAGACACACTCAGAAATAATGTTGAATCTCAGCACCCTGCGGCACAATCAGGTTGACACTATTAAATTAACCATCACACTCTAAAACAGTCTTTGGGGATATTTATGAATATTGTTAGCAAAGACCTTTTGGCCAGGCATGGTGGCTCACTCCTGTATTCACAGCAGTTTGAGAGGCCAAGGTAGGCAGATCACTTGAGGTCAGGAGTTTGAGACAAGCATGGCCAATTTGGCAAAACCCCGTCTCTACTAAAAAACAAAAGTCAGCTGGGTGTGTTGGCACACACCTGTAATCCCAGATACTCAGAAGGCTGAGGCAGGAGAATGGCTTGAACCCAGGAGGAGGAGGTTGCAGTGAGCCAAAACTGTGCCACTGCGCTCCAACCTGGATGACAGAGTGATACTCTGTCTTTAAAAAAAAAAAGAAGAAGAAGAAGAAGAAGAACACTTTTGGTCTTTGTGTAGAATGAATCCAAATTTTAGTTCATGGTACTGAACACCATACGGCTAATATTCACCCTTGCATTCCTTCAAAATAGCACAAACTATAAGGTTAATGCCCCCATCTCCCCAGAATATACAAAGCATTTTTATTCTTGATGTTTGTCTTTTATCACAATGCAAATGCCACCTTGAGCCCCAGTGCTCAGAGTTAGGAGCTGGGGATGTTTTCCTTAATCTAGTCTGAATGCTGATTTTTCAGATATCATGACAATGTTTTCTGCTCTATGCTCCTGTCTTATTTTGGAAGCCAAGGCAACATTGTATGGCAGAAAGAGTATGGGTTTTAAAGACAGAGACATGGTTTGGATCTGTGTCTCTACCCAAATCTCATGTTCAATGGTAATCCCCAATGCTGGAGGTGGGGCCTGGTGGGAAGTAATTGGATCATGTGGGTGGATCCTTCATGAATGAATGGTTTAGCTCCATCTCTTTGGTGCTGTTCTCATGATAGAGTTCTCAGGAGATCTGGTTTTGTAAAAGTGTGTGGCATCTGCCCTCTCTGTTCCTCCAGCTCAGGCCATATAAGATGTGCCCGCTTCCCCTCTGCCATCTGCCATGACTGTATGTTTCCTGATGCCACCCCAGAAGTTGAGCAGGAGCTAGCCTGTAGAGCCATGAACCAATTAAGTCTCTTTTCTTTATAAATTACCCAGTCTTAGGTATTTTTTTTTTATTGCAGTGCGAGAACGGACTCATACAGATTCTCAGGCTTGATGCTTACTTTCTCTGTAAAACCCACTCTCTCACCTACAAAGTGGAGATATTGATGCCTAGGTATTCTGTGCTCTTAGCAACAATAAGACTAAGACATGTCTCTGGACATTGTGGGGAAGTATATCAATCAGAGTTAAACTACAGAAACAGAAACACTATGAAAGGTATAGAATAAAGCATTTATTTGGGGATTAGACCTCGTGCAATAGTAGGAGCAGGTACAGAAGTCTATCCAAGACTGTCACCACTATGTCCGATGTTGGTACTGAAGTTGAAATACCCAGCTAGGTTGGCAACTGGGAAAGAAGTCTTGGGATGAGGCAGAGGAGAAAAGGGCAAATTGGAACCCAGGAGGATGTATTGGAACCTGTATCTGTCTCTCCAGGCCTCCATCCTCCATAATATGGGTGACTTGGAGGGAAGGCCAGTACGTTTTGCCATGGAGCTGCACACATACCTATCCCAGGACTTGGAGAAGCTGAGGGAGGGAA